GTGGGTGGGTGGTTGGTATACATTTTGGTTTAAATGTGACTAGAAGGGGGAAGAAAAAAAGAAGAAAATGAAAATGGACGAGAAGGGGGTAAAAGGGGAGGAGGTGGAGGAGGTGGAGGAGGTGGAGGAGGAGGAGGGTAGTAGGTATGTGATTTTGCGGTAAAGATCTACATACCTACATGCAACAAACGTGCTTCGCTTATCGTGCACCGCTTATCGTGCATTTATGACCGAAATTCTTTTCAAATAAGAAAATTGTTCGTAAAAACGTTGTACGATGTTAACGCGTGAAAATGTTGACAAAATGTGAATTGTATGATATATTCTCGATCGGAGAGAAAAAGAAATATCTTTTTTTCATATTTCATAAGATGTAACTTTTTAAGAGTTCGCGTAACTTTTGTAATATTCGGATCCGGGTAATGCTTGCATTTGAAAAAGAAAAAGGTGAAATTGTAAGTAAAGAACATTGTGTTATTTCGTTCGTTAAATCGAAAATTATATTATGTCTTAAAAAGTAATCGAAGGGAAGAAAGAATTGAATACGTTTAGAAAATTTATTAGAAAATAAGAAAAGAATGGGAACGCATGTTGGTGAACAAATTTGTGACGTTAATGAACATGATGAAATATAGATAAGAAACTACCAAATAGTTTTACACTTTTTGTCCCAACCAAATATATATGTATATATTTTGATATATAGAAAAATATAGGATAGGAAAACATACACATATATATATATATATATATATATATGTATGTATTAAGATTATAAAAAGAGAAAAGGATTTAAATACGAAAGCATAGCAATCGATCATGCTTCTTCTCTCGATCTTGATCTTGATTTTGAAGAAAAAAAAAAAGAAGATAGAAAAAAAGAATATAGAAAAAAAGAAAAAGTGGTGTTTTTTTGTTGTTGTTGTCCATTAGTTTATTATAAACGTATCATGCATAAATTTGATATCGTGCAAGCAATTATAAGTGCATAATAAGTTTGGTATAAAGGTAGACACGAGTGATTATCGGTTTATAAAAGCGAAATAAAAGATTGTTTGAATAGAGAGGATGTCTGTTATATGTCACGTACTGTGTGTGTAGCGGCTGAGTGTTGGTTCTCAAGTTCTTCTTGTTCCTCGTAGTCGCTGCTCTGGCTTGGCGAAAGTCCCTCCTCCCCGCTACTCCGGCTCTAAAACGTTCATACTCGCAGAGACTTTTCTAATCACCCAGTATATACGATGGTAGAAATACGAAAAATGTGTGTGTGTTTAAGTGGGGGTGGTATTTGGGGTAAAGGAGAGGAGAGGAGAAGAGAATAGGACGATGAAATTTAAATGTATGATATATATATATATATATAT